GGGGCGCCGCCGCCGCCGCCTGGACGCCGGTACGGCCGGGGGGCCCTGCCCGCCGCGGGGCCACGTACGGGCCAGCGCCTGCAGAGGTCAGAGAGAGACTGGCGGGGCGAGCCTGGGCTGCGCCGGGGGCTCCTGCGTTTTGGCAGGGCGGGCGAAACGCGGGGCTGCGCGCCGTCCTTCGGCGCTCTCGTGAGTAACGTGCGCGACGGCCGGCCCCGGGACGGCTCGTCACGCGTAGCGCTCGGTCCTCGGCAGGTCCCTGCTGCACCATGTCAGGGGACAGCGACTGCGCGAGGACGAGCCCGTCGGCGGGGTCGGCGTCGGACGCGGAGCTGCTGCCCGCCCGGCCCAGGTACGAGTGCTCGCTGTCCCCCGAGCTGGTCACCAAGGCCCGGGAGGAGCTGCAGGAGAAGCCCGAGTGGCGGCTGCGCGACGTGCAGGCGCTCCGGGACATGGTGTGCAAGGACCATCCCTACCTGGGCACCTGCCTGGACGACGCTTTCTTGCTGAGGTTCCTCAGGGCCAGGAAGTTCGACTACGACCGGGCGCTGCAGCTCCTGGTCAACTACCACACGTGCCGGAGGAGCTGGCCCGAGGTCTTCAACAACCTGAGGCCGTCCGCAATAAAGGCCGTGCTGGAGTCGGGCTTTGTCACCGTGCTGCCTCGCTTGGACCCGCAGGGACGCCACGTTGTCTGCATCCGCCCAGGTATTCAAATGCCTGAATATCCTCGCTCTCCACCCTTGAGGGGTGCTTGGGCCAAAAATCCATTTCCCGCTCCCGTTTGAGCCCTGCTTGCTTGTGCAGAGGACGTGGGTTTTCTCTAAAATGTGAAAAATCAGCTTTTTGAGGGGACACGTTGCTCGTTAGCTAACATTATACCGGTTCCTTTTCCTGTTTTAGCAATTACTGCGGTTGAGTAMCAAAAAAACAAAATGCATTGAGGTGGTTGAGAATATTGTTAGGCAATTGAAAAAAAATTAYTATGTAGTAACTCAAGTTGGAACAGGTCTGCTGTCCTCCAGTCAGAAGCTTATAATTTGCTYTGATAATAAGTGGAGAGGGAAGCCTCTGGCTTTGACTCCAGCGTAAACAKTTTAATGTGCTTTTGGTGCTGCCAGGCTTGCTGCAAATTTGTTTTCATTCATTCTCCTCTTTTCCATTTACCTGCTTTCTTTCTGAGCTGAAGCYGCTTCTAATAATCTCTGCTGGGTGGAGAATGGGATCCTTAAAACCACGAGGAGTACCGAGCCCTTGCTCCTTGATGTAAACATGAGTTGCCATTTTTCTCATGCTTAAAAAAGGCTGCTCTGAGCTAGGACTGTGGCTATTAAGAGTAACTTTTAAGAGACCAGGAGAATAGAAAATCAGGTTTTGGAATGTGTATTGCTAGCTTATATTTACTTTCCAACTTACCATCCATGTCTTGTAACCTCAGACAGATGGACACCCAGTAATTATCCGATTACTGAGAACATTCGTGCCATATACTTAACGTTAGAAAAACTCATTCAGTCCGAAGAGACCCAGGTGAATGGAATTGTAATCCTGGCAGACTACAAAGGAGTCAGCTTATCTAAGGCGTCTCATTTTGGTCCTTTTGTAGCCAAAAAAGTGATTGGAATTCTTCAGGTAAGACCTGAACTGGTGGGAAAATAAGCTTATGCATTGTAAATGACTGCTTCTGTGTCTAGAGATCTTTACTATGTTAACTGAAACTTGAGCATCGTGGCTTTCACTAGAAGAGTTAAAAAACATCTCTGCCCAAACGCTTTCTCAGATCTTGGCCAACATGTTTGCCCCTTTTTTGATTTCTACATTCCTCCCCTTTGACTTCTACATTTGAGTTAGAAATGCAAGCTTTGAGTTGGAGCAGAAGCAGCTTATCCTGCTGTCGCCGCAGGGAGGAAGAGAGCAGTGAATTGCAGTAAAGGAAGAGGTCCCCTTTTTGCTTGAATGATGACAAATGACTCTTATCATTTAAATGGTTCCATGCTGGGGATGCCTGTCTGGAAAAGGTGCGATTTGAGGAGGACTTCCATCCGGGCCCTGGGAAGAGAGGCTGCTTCAACATCAGGGCAGCAAGGAAGGCCACCGAGGAGACCCTGTAAAGCATCTCAGGAGTAGGTGTTTGGGGGAAAGCGACAGAACAAGTTAGAGCAGGTGACATGTCCAAGCAAAAGTGCACAAAATGGGACAGCGAAAGGAGCAGGGAGTAACCTGGTCAAAGCAGCAGCAAGAGCTGCTGATGTTTGTTGTTGATCCACAATTCTGTCTGAAGGAGATGAGGGAAAAATCTCTCAAATGGGTTCRTCTTCCCATTACTTGTACTCTAGCTTTTTTCTAGCCTGAGCTGATCATGGTTTTTTTGTTGTACTTTGGGTACAACATATGGACAGATTGGGGGAATCTGGAGTTTCCTGAGACGAGACTAGTGGGTTTACAAAAAGCTATGCAACAACTCACGTACACCTTTAAATTGTTCTCAATGTTTTGTAAAATTGTTTGACCCCATGTTTAATTTGCACAAATAAAGTAGTGGGTGTCCTGCTRTTATCAATGGAAGCTGGTTACGGAGGAAAGAAACCTCACTTGGCATTTGGGACCTTAACTGCTGAACATGAACTTTGCTTTGGAAGAATGTTCCTTGAGTAAATCTTCTCAGTAGACACCCCTCATCTAACTTTGATTTTAAACTGGATTGTGTACAAGCATGTTGGAGCTCTGGTACCAAATCCTGCAGTTGGGAATGTTAGAACCAGCCTCCTCTGGCCCTGGGAATGTTGTACCTCCTCCTCCAAGGCCAGGATGGTACATGTTGTAACTCTGCATCCCGCTTAGGGTTGGGAATACCAGGAAAATACTAAGTGCCTAAGCAAGTGTTTCAGGGAGGATGAAGAACAACAAAAGAAATTAAGAGTTACTGGTAGCAGTATCTGTCCCAATTCAAGGTCAAATCTGTGTGCCAAATTTAGTCTCATTTTTATGCTTGCAGCTCTCCTTCTAGGGCCACTTCCTCTCACAGGGTGCACTTCTGTTGTTGCACTGGTTTATACTGGCGAGCCAGTGGGTTGTGCWGACAGTCAGGCTTGGGAGAGTTTAAACATAGAAAAAGTGGCTTTTTTTTTTTTTTTTTTGAATTGTACTCTAAAAATTTTCTTTCTCCTTTAGGATGGATTCCCCATTCGAATAAAAGCTGTTAACATAATAAATGAGCCTCGTATATTCAAAGGCATTTTTGCAATCATCAAGCCTTTTCTGAAGGAAAAGATAGCAAACCGGGTAAGGATTTGTATCATTTTCATACTAATGTTAAACCCTTTGCTTAATACCTGCATGTAAAGTCTGCTGAGAAAGCTCCCAGCTGACAAAGCTTGGTCCTATTTACTGGATCTAACTGGCCCTTTTTGCCTTCAGGATCTCTCTTTTAAATAAAGCCTGTTGAGGAAGTTCTTCATGACACAGATAAGACTTTGAAGAATTTAATAGCGGTGTAATATTAATATGGACCTTTAGTTTATACGTTACATATTCATTAATCCAATCTCCGGGATTGGGTTATCCTGTCACAATAACAGTGGTGTGTTTTAAAGGTCGCATAAAGGTGTTGCCCTTTCTTTGCACTTCTTCTTTATGCAAATATCCAGAGCACCAAGAATACTAGGGATATATTGAATCCAYTCCATCCAATGCATGAACCCACTGAATCATCAATGGGTAAATTCCTTTTGCCCCACTGTTAAGTACTTCCAGCCCCATGAAGGAACTGCACACAAGCTKAAGTCAGAAGCCCCACACACAACAGCAAATCTGGATTCTCTCTGTTCTCTCTTTTGGGATTTCAGCTGCACTAGACTTGCAGTATCTCTAGGTTTCCCCTCCTAGATATGTCTTGCTGTGCACTGCCACACACAAARGCCTCATTTTACATTTGCTGTTTAACTCAAAATAAGCCATTGGCTGCTTTAGTAATATACTATAGTAATATACTATAAAACATCTTACATACCCCATTAAACCTTTTGTTGACTTTCTTTTCGTCAGTTTTTCCTTCATGGCGGTGATCTGAATTCCCTTCATCAAAACATTCCTCCCGTGATCCTTCCTGAGGAGTACGGTGGTACTGCAGGGAAGCTGGACATCTCGGCATGGAACGAGYTGCTGCTAGCCTCCGAAGAGGATTTTCTCCACGATTTCTCCCAGCTGCTGCTCCCCTCCGACAGCTCTCCCCACGACACGCTCGTGAGCGGGGATGCTGATGAAAAGCAATGCGATGAGTCTCTGCGAGGCATGAAGCCTCAGCTCTATTACTGCTATTAACCAGCCAGCGAGGGGAAGCTTCCCAGCACAGCTAGGACCTCTTGTACTCTGCTAAGTGATGTTGTGAACTCTGCCTTACTCCTGAACCTGCAGTTTAGGAACAGACTGCTGAGGCACTTTACACTGTAAAACCAAAGGAAGCTGAAGAGGGCACAGTGGGGGCAAGGCAGAGTTTGCAGAGGAGAAAGGCAAAGAGCACACAGCTGCCAAATTATCTAGAATACTTAAGGTTCCTTAGCCTCTCTGCRAGTGATGCAAACTGGAATATTCTTCCTATTGATAAAGACAAAAAAAGAATCCTACTGTAGTGTAAACTTGGTAGTTTCCCATCTCCCTTTGCTCACAGGTGAAAAGTAACTGTGATTTACTAGCTTGGTGATCATCTCTTCCATTTTCCTTCTGAAACAAGATGATCTAAAAYAAGAAAATTGCATTTGCATCTTGCAAAATATAGTTCTGTCACTGGAAGATTGCTTAAAAAAGTAAAGTCTGTGCTCTGGCACTTGGTCTAGATTGTGAATTGGCTTTTCAGGAATATTCAAATGAATTTTGGTTCATATTATTATGGAGTAACTGAATATCAGAATAGAGATTTTCTATATTTCTAGTAGGTAGAATACCCAGTGGACTAGTTATTGCACCATTTATATCAAAGCTTAATATAAACAGATGCAATCTCCATTTTCAAAAAAGGGTAAGTTTTACAGATCTGGTACTAAGAATTTTTGATTAGACACAGTTTCAAATTCTGAAGTTCAGGACCAAAAGATAAAAAGCTCTGTCAGTCACATTATCAGTTGTTCTTTCCTTCAGCTGGTTGTGATAAGGAACTCAGCAAGCACTTCATAAGTAGAATTTGTAAGGAAGCTTTGTAGCAGCTGGCATATAATATATAGAAGGCAATATTTCATGTAAGAAAGCAAGGTGCTTCTTTAGCTTGTTACTTTGCCAGAATTTGAATTCAAGGCTCTGTGAAACCAAATGCAGCCAGGGTATTTGAAAGCACATTCAGAGTTTTCCTGCTATGGTAGCATTTTGTTTGCTGTGCTTGTCTGCTCTTTTGTGAAATGTTACAACTTTGGTTTCAGCTTTGTTGACCCCCTTCTGTCTCTGGTTGGTATATTCCCCTACGAAGTTAGGCTTTAGCCATCTCTGTGATAGTTTCCCCACAACTTGTGTGTCTGTGCTTTTAGGTCCTTGTCTAGAGCCAGAACCAAGACTGTAATGTCAAATCAGGGTAAGATATACTATGTCTGAATAAGCTGCTCCCTCTTCCCAACTTCCTTCTGTTTACTGGCCTCGAGTTAGAAATTAACCTCTCAGCACACTCTTTGCACGTATTTTTCTGCACTAAATGAGTGCATAGGTGGGAAATCTCACTAGGAAAGAAGAAAAGCACATCCAACTATATCAAGGGGAAATGTTTCACTCTTCAGTGAAAGACAGTAACCTTTCCAATTGGAATCCTCATCTCCAGAGCACTTTTTTTCTGGGCGAAAAAAATTTTCRTCCGTTTCGTTCGTACTTTATTTAGTACTAAGTATGATACAGGTGCCAGTTCTCTAAAAACAAAGCTCTAGCATCTCAAGGAGTTGAGACATTCATTTTTCAGAGTGCCAAACTTTTGAATGTCTTTTTTCCTCTCAGTCCCTCTACAGCAYGATTAGGCAAGGGAAACCCCTTCCAGCACCAGTAATGACTTCCTGACCTGGCAGCTTACCATCCAAGCATCGTGAAAGCAGTTTATAAAAGAAAGGGGTTTTGAAAAGAGGCAGACATGCAGCTTTTCCCTAGGTAGCAATTCATAGTTTTAATTGGAGCAAAACTCATCACTTCAACTATTGTAGAACTTACATAAGAAGAAATTTTCCTTACTTTAGGCATCTGATTTTTTGCTACCTTTGGGAGAGCTATTACCTTAAATGCAGGAAAAAAAAAAAAAAAAATTTTCTGCTATTTCCAATAGGGCAGAAATGTATTGTTAGCCAATTCCTCTTCATTTCTGACCAAAGCCCACTGCGTGCTTTGCAGAGATTTTGTACCAGCTAGCAAGACATCAGCACAAAGCACCAGGACTTAAGAAATGTGAGTGGCCACCAAGGCTATTGAGCTGCTAGAACACAGAGGCCAATATTTATATTTGAGTGCCTATTAATTCCATCTACCATGTATAATTTAAAAAAGCAGGATGGAACCTTTTCCTAGAGGTGAAGGTGCAACTGGTATTTGATATTTCTTCACTAACTTTGGTGCAGGGTTTGAAGGGGTGATACTTTTGACAGCCCWCCTTCCAGTACAGCTACTTGATGCCCTTAAGGTAACTACTGCTGGAGGCCAAATAGTCAAAATTCAATTTCCTATCTTTAACAAGAGAAAAATCCACAAGTGTTTACTGAGCAACATCTACAGCCACCATGCCTTTATTTTTCCAKACTTTTACATTCCCTTTCATGCCTGAACTGATAGCCTAGATCTATCTACTCCCTTTTTCTCCTGCTCACAGATGAAGTTTATTCTTGAACAGAACAGTGTACATTATTCAAGTTGAAAATAGCTTGTCTTACCTCTAGAACATCTTGTTCCTAAAGCTAGATGCTTTGCAGTTGATACGGAAGCTAAGCGAGGTTTACCTGCATCAGTCACTTAAGTTCTGAAGTCAAAAAGGCAAGAAATATTTAAGTAGTTAAAGCAGCATCTTCACCCAGCTGAATCTCTAACTCTCTCTAGGTTTTTAATGGGTGCTTAGCTTGTCTTACAGCAACCACAGCTGTCTTACATGCACCTGAGCACTGAGCTGAAAGTGCTCTTTGAGCTTTGGCACTAGCAAAGAAAGCAGTTTTGTCCCAAAATGTCTCATGTCAGCACTTGAAAACTAAGCTAAACACACACCCCACCCTGCTCACAGCACTAAAACTGATGGGATCATTCCCCCCCAACCCACCCCACTTAAAAAAACCTTTACCTGTTTCCAGGGGCTATAAGCTTTTGGCTAGAACCTAAGCCATTCCTGCCAAATTCAACACATAACAAGAGAAGATACTCAAATGTCACTGGGCAGCCATGGCTTTTTGCATTACTTGGGGCAAAACGTAGCTGCAGACTGTAAATAAAATACTTGAATTTATACTGGTACAGAGGGGTGTTACAAACCCTGAGGTATTTTTAGGAGAGTGGATGATTTTTTTTTATTATTATTATTTCATTTTGGCATGAGTTAATTACAGTGTTGTTCAAGCTCATAATTTTGCTTTCTGGTGTATGTGGGCCTAAAGGTGTTGGGTTAAGCGTACCTCTTATTTTGACAAAATTTATTTTTATATTGCATTTTATAAAAGAGTGGTCAAAATGTGTACTTTTATGATGCATGATTAAACACTATTGTTAAAGCTGCTCATCTGATACTTTAAATATGTTTACCTTCTGCCTTGTCTTGTGGTATTTGCTGTAAGAGTGGATAGTASCATATACGTAGTGCCCTACATAAGGTTTCAATGTGTCATGTTAGAAAAGGTGTGATATAATTTTACTAGCTGAACAATTTCAAGAAATGAGATTCAACTTTCAGAGATACTCTTGGAAGGTGCAGCTCGTTTCAGAAGAAATATATTCCTGACATTATGTAGTATTTGCTGCTTGGAAAAAATACCTAGTCAGGGCAACTGGCCACTTCAAGGCTTATCAGCATTTAAATCAGTCATATCTTGCACTGGAGAATAACCATTCTGGTCCTTAACACKTCTCAACAGAAGTAAGACAGTTTCAGTAGTTAGTCTGTTTTATTCAGAAGAGTTTACAGTGCAAATGCTTTAGTGCCAATAATAATCACTTRATATGCATTACAAGCACAGCAGATAAGTGAAAACAAATTAGGAGCTCTCTTTTTCCATCATAATCATRAAGTTGTGGAAGGTAGTCATACACTTACTGCTTAGTATTTGGCAAACATACCAAAAAAGAAGTTACCTCTGAAGTTGTGCCTTAAAAAGGGCAAGTTTGTTCTTAACAACATGAATTAGAGTTAACAGTTTTTCAGCCTTAAAGTTGTGTTCTTTTTCTGAGAAATAAGGTCATTTTTTGCCATAAGACAGGGAGATAAATCTCATTTAAATAAGCTTTTTGCAGTGAAATGTAGAAATTAAACAATATGGCTTACAATTCCAGTAACTGAAACATTAGTACACCAGTGCATTATGCTGAATATAACTTGCTCTTTAAAATATATTACTTTGTATTTAGCTAAATGTTATTTCAGTATTAAGGTTGGGGCTATCAGGGTAAAGGGTTGTGCTTCAACAGCACAGTAGTGAATTTTAAAAATGCAGTAACACAGTAACTGTAGCTGAAGGTTAACAAAGATAATGGATAATTTTGTTCTGCTTCAAGCATTGTGCGCTTCCTTAGCTTTCTATCCACCTGCACGTTAATATGAACATAAGACAAGACAAAACTTGCCTTAACTAAAGCAATACGTGAACATTTTGGCTTTTAGCAAAAGAGTTCCCCACTTTTGTGTGCTCAGAGAGGGGCAGCCGTTTAACTGAAGTCCCGATTAGTGAGAACAAGAGGAGCCACTAAGGTCCAAAGGTAGAGGAAGAGACAAACCCAGCTGGACGCTATCTTCACCCACACGGCCGGCCACTTACTTGTCATTGTTTTAAAATCCGCATCAGGGCTAGAAAGGAAAAGAAAGGAACCATTAGATATTTGGGACAMCATCCACACTGCTCTGCCACTGCTGAAACCCATGTGAAATTAGGATAGTCGTTTTGGGAAACTCCACTGTTTCTGGAAACATAGTGAGACAACTAAATGAGCATCTTCCTGAGGCTCCTTTTAGCTCCACAGTGTCAGGAACAGCACCTGCCTGCACAGACTCCAGAGCAGGAACCTCCCAGCTACCCAGAAACACCAGCCAGCAGCACAGGCAGCCTCTGGCTTTCCCTCTTACCTGTACCAGTTAGTGAGCGTCATCATGATGTACAGAGAGGCGAGGAAGAGCATGAAGTGGAAGAAGGCGTAGCTGTACTGCACGCCCTCCTTCTCGTTGTCGGCGACGCGGCGCGCATCGCCCTCCTCGGCCGCGCCGCCGCCCGCGCTCTCCTCCAGGATGGCACTGTCGCTGCCCGACAGCGTCAGCTTGTTCACCTGGCTGTTACTGGACGAGCGGATGCTGCAGCGTGACCCAAAGGGAAATGCRATTACAAACTTATTTTCAGGGAGTTAGATGCGTTTGCTATGACACTTGTCACRCAGCAGATCACACGAATGGCTGGGACTAATGAAAAACATTTTTTGATCGTCTGGAAACATAAGGAAGCCCCTTAGAGACCTCTGTTTCCATCTGAGCTGTCTTTCACCCAACTAAGTAGTGTTCCCAGTCTAAGCCTTGTAACACATTTTATCTGAATTGGGCTAATAAAGCCTACACTCATCCACAAAATAAAATACAGTTTTATTAACTGCATTTTGATTTGAATCTGAAACCACCTAAGCTGCAAAGGAGCAAATAGTTCCATTTTTTGCCCTGGACTCAAATCCAAGTGGAAAAGGCAGAAAGATCCCGATTGTTTATCRCTTGTAAGCAATACAGGTCCTACCTGGAATAGAGAAGGCAGAGGACAAAGATGACTAAACCAACAATACTCTGTGCATCCCACCACTGCAAGGACTTGGGCGGCGCTGCGGTGGCAGGAGCGACAGTGGCATTTGCTGGAACAAGGGGGGTTGTAGCCATCTGCGTGATGAGATTCAGCAAACTTGGGTTACAGCTTCGCTCTGAAAGGCAGAGGCAGATTAAGAGAGATGAGGTTTGACRGCATTTAGGTTGAAAAGATGACAGATTAGCTTAATGATCTCTTTAATTCCCCAGAGCCAGCACTGCCATGGAATACTTTTCCTTTGTGCGAGTTAGGTGAGTTAGTTTCTTTTGTGTGCRCTACAAAAACAATCCTAATGCCCCGAAACTATTTCTTTTCTCCACATAGACATCCACAACTTAGTTCTGGAAAGAAGCAGTTTGATGGTTTTAGTGGAATCAGCTTTACCCTTTCTCACTAGAGTTTATCTAGACAGAAGATCATTAGTCCCCACACAGTGATCTTCAACAACCACGTGCCCCCACAACAGGTTTTGCTTTCACACCAAAGTAGGTGACTCGAGACCACCAGCTGCTTACCAGGCTCGTTGGACATGGCCGACCAGGTGAGGTACATGGTGTAGAGAGTGATAACCGAGGACTGGAGRAGGCCAGAACGAGGCTGATGCTCCTGTTCAAGATAGGACCATTCAAGGTCAAATGGGCTAGTTTTATCCAAAGCGGGACTTAATGCCCACTGCCACAGATTTTAATAGTWACTAGCACAAATAATGCTAGCCAGTGTTGGCCATACACTACATTGGCATAATTATGCTAATAATATTATGCCAATAATATTAGGTATAATATTACCAAAAAAGAAAGTCTATCTAGAGGAAATACATTACTTCAGAGTGCATTYGTCTCAGAGCAAGATTTTTTTAAAAAAAATTCCTGGCTAGCATAGCTATGAAAACCAAATTTTAAAGTTCTTATGTCTGAGTGATTCAGGTGACTCCAAAGAAAATAAAATAATACCTGAACTTTCGGGAGGATAGAAACGATGGAGACAGCAATGCACAGGATCATATTAATGCTGATGAAGAACTTGTTCTCAGTGCAGCCATCAGGTTTTGTGTAGAAAACATAGAAAAGTACAACAAAAACCAGCGACAAGCCATAGAACAAGCTTGTACAGGACAAGAGAGCTGGAGGGAAAAAATACCCCAAACATTAGAGTAAGAGCGTAACTTGACAATACAATACATTTAAGGTGATTTAATGGTTCACTCTCCTTTCCCCACTTCAAAGTCTGCTTCAGAAAGCGTTACTAGCAGAATGTGTTCTTATTAGTGTTATTAGGCTAATTTTCTGGTTTGGCTCATTAGGTCCTCTAGTTCAGAGAAACATCTAGGGAGTAAGACTTATGTTTCAGCTGCAGATGAATCAGGTTAAGTATATTGTCACAGTGTCAATTTGACACACAGTGTTTTCACTGAGTGATTTCCCCACACACACACTTTAATGGGATATTTACAAGCCTTGAATATCTACACTACAGGCSACCTATTTTCATTTCCATTCTGCTGTGTTTGTAAGAAGCCCCCAAATGCTGACGCAGCACTCCTAGTGAGGCACAAAGAGCCACAAACCCTGGCACTCTGTATTTGCAATAGTCGACTCAGGCGCAGTTGGACTCTGGCACTGACAACAAGKAACCGCCTGAGGATGTCAGTTTGGTAAAGGGCAAAGTAGAGTCAGAATTTAAGAGCTCTAGGCTAAAAGTTCTGCACTTATTGTCAAACTAGACAAGTTTAGGTGCTGTTTATTGCAACTATGAGATGTGTCAGTCACAAGACTAGACTATTTCCTGCTTTATTAAATGAGAACAGGGCAATATTGCAGCTTTAATTCAAAATATTTACTCAAGGGGGCTGTAGAGTGTAATCCTAGGATATGTTTTCAAAGCAGTAAGTGATATTATGCAGAGTACTGACAGCAGAAACAAATCCTGCCAGTTGAAGATTCCTACCTGCATACCAACATTTGGAATTTCCCTCCTCCACTCTCTCAACCCAGCTTTCATTCCAGGAATGAGCAAAATCCACCAGAAGCACCAGCTGGATAAGAATGAAGCAGAAGGCTCCACAAAGACCAATAACAAACCAGGCTRGAAAAGACAAAAAGAAAATCAGGGTCAATTTGCAACATTCCTTCTCTAGATTCTTTGAGAAGTAACAAAATTCCCTAGCTAGACAGGGAAAGTTTCTTGCAAAGGGTTTCAGAGGCTTTGAGGAGTATCCAGCACTTGTCGCAGACAATACTCCAAGGTGCCTCTAACCTATGCAGTGGCAGAAAACTCAGGGCTGTCATGGAGTTATTAATGCACAGCACCTACGCCCTGGAAAACATATTGCTTAACTGCATGACTTCAGCTGATCACCAAAATATCTGGTGACCCAATGTACTGYGAAGAAATAGGAGACTCGGAGCCTTCTACAAAACAATGTGAGGCAAAAAGAGCCATTTTCACAACTACACCTATAGCCTGTAGTCTGTGGGAAAGAAAAACAAACAAGAGCTTAATTAAACAAAATTCTACGTTCATGTATTAATTGTACCTCTTGTGAAAGGTCCTTCAGGAATGTAAAAAGCTCCAACCATGATACCCACAATGGCAACTATTTTGAAGAACCAGAACCTTCAAGAGAAATTGGAAGACACTGATGTTACTCTGCACACAATTGCTATGTTTTATATGACTTGCAAGCAGCTTGCTTTACAGAGAAATAAAGCAAAAAGTTGTACTCGATGGGATTACAGGTRAAGATGTTCACCAAACAGAAGGAAGGCCTGGTTAATACTGTGAAGAAATGGACTGACAAGAACCTCATGAAGTTCAAAAAGGCAAATGCACAACCCTGTTGCTGGGACAGAATAATTCCATGCAACAGCACAGGCCGGGGTCGCCTTGCTAGAAAGCCACTCTGCAGGAAGAGTGGATCATGCTGGACAACACGGGAACATGAGTTAAGAGCGCAGCCTCGCGGCAAGGAAGGCCACCTCGGCACCCTTCAGCTTGCCGGAGGCCAGGGAGATCCAGCTGCTTCTCTTCAACTGCTTAATGGGACAGGAGAGAGAAGACAAAAACACTCTTCAACCTTATTCTATGATAATTTAATAATCTGACCCCACATCGACCCAGTTAAATCAGTGGGTAGTTTCTGCTTGATAACCAGCTCAGTCTGGCTCAGTGATGGCCCAGTAAGTGCTAGAGGCAGCACGAGGCAGAAGATAAAGTGGGTGAACATCCTTCACCTGTGTGTGATCAGAAAGGGGGTAACAAGAGCTCTCCCCGCTTTTGGTTACCCCATTTCTCAGAGCATTAGCAACAACATCCATCCTCACATTATCAGCATTCAGGGTRTGTAACTTGAGGAGAAAGTCTTTTATGAGACTGAAGCCTGGGTCTGCGTTTAGTTCCAAAGAAATTTAACACTKTCCTTCGGCAATTTGTCCCTGTGTTCTGCAAGGAAGTTTGGGAGAGGAGAAGGAGGGGAAAGAAGGTGAAGATAAGACAGCTGGCTCACAGACCTACCCGTTGTGCACGGAGGCTCTTGGATCGTTACTTGTTTTCACTTCTATCATGATCAGCGAGAAGAGAAAGAAAAACACTGCCATGGCRAAGCTGATTCGATAGACGGCTCTGTAGCCCACGAACACGTCGCAGCTGACAAAGCCGCTCACGTGCGGGATCCGAGCGTGCAGCCCCTCGTCACAAAATCCAGGCACCTGCACAGAGGCGTGGGAAGTTGGGAAATTACCCCTCTATTTACAAATTACGTTTTTTAAGCACTCAGACAGCTAAGCTTTGCTGCCAGCTCCCTGTGGGGAGGGCTGGTAACACAAGACTTTGCACTCAGCCAGACAGCGGTGGCCTTATCATCTTCCTTTCCCCGTATTATCACTAAAAACATTTGGGAAGATTAAACATTACTGCAGGTCTGGGATAACTGGCAGTTCCCAGGGCTTGTCTGGGCAAATTCCAGGGCACAGGCAGGTGCTAAAGCCCCACGTGAAGCCTCAACACTGGGTGCCCTGACACAGTGGGCGCCATTCCCACCTCAGGGTGCAGCAACCGGGCGCACRTCCCTCCCGCCCGCCCCGTTCCCGGGAAAACCACGGGGCGGGCGGCGGCCGGGCCCCTCGTACCTTCTTGAGCTGCTCCTCCATGCCCGGCGCCAGCATGATGCAGGCCACGGCGGTGCTGAGCAGCAGCAGGAGCGCGTAGAGGAGCCGCGTCACGGTGGAGTTCTTGGTGGCGGGGCAGCAGCGGCACAGCAGGCACGAGGCGCCGCCGCACAGGCACGGCAGCTGCGGGACACGCGCCGCCGCCGTGAGCGCGGCGAGGCCCGGCCACCACCGCGCACGGCCGGGCCCCTCGAGCCGCCCCTCGGGCGGAGCGGCCGCCGGGGGCCCGGGAGGGAGGCACTTACCCAGCTGGCCAGCGAGCAGACCCCCAGCACGGCCCCCATGATGCCGCCGTCCCGSTCCCGCTCCCGGTCCCCGTCCCGGTCCCCGTCCCGCCGCTTCCTGCTTCCGCCCCGCGCCGCCGCSGCCGCTCATTGGCTGGCGCCGCGCCCCGCCCGCCAATGAAGGAGCAGGAGGGGGCGGTGGGTGGGCACCGCCTGCGGCAGCGGTTGAATCTTCCCGGAGCGGCCTCCCGCCTTTGTCTGTGCGGTGAGGTCATAGAAGAGAGGGGTGCTGATTGGTGGAGGTGCGCAAGGGGCGGRCGGGCTCGCCAGCATGCCAGCCAATGAATAAAGCGTCTCCAGCAGGACAGTGATTGGCAGAGCTTCCAGCCACTCAGCGCCGCTCTGCCGGTGAAGCGGCGGTTGCCATAGCAGCGCGCGGGCCCCGGCTCCATGGCGCCCGCGGCCTTGAGGGAAGGCGGCGCCTGCACCCCYGCTTGCGCTTCGCTCCCGCCGGGATTTGAGGGCTCCGGCTGGGAAACGGGAGATTTGCACCTTCCAAAGGGCAGCAAACAGGGAGAAAGGGAGCGTGTGGAGACAGAGACACGGTCCTGCCTTAGCCCAGAGGCTGAAGTCTCCCTCAGGGAACAGGACACGTTGGCAGAGCGTTGGTGTCGTTGCCATCTGGAACTGCCAAGAAATGGGAAAGGGCTCAAATAAATGAGCCGCTTCTTTTCCACCAGCAGCTTTAACACACAGAGCGTGTGGAGACTGTGCTAACAGGACCGTTTAATCAGGGTCATTCATGAAACTACACACGCCTCTTYCCAGTCACGCCCATAAATCATTCAGCCCGTCCTTCCTTCACACAACACATGAGCTATTACCTTAGGATTAAAATATTTTTCTTATCTTTCCRTGTGCACCAGCTGGATCTGTAGGAAGGCTCCTGCCAAACGCATTCCGCTCTCGGGGCACACGAGTGTTTGCAGAGCAAAGGCAGAGTCTCAAAAACCCCGTGTTCCCTCCCCAGTAATCTCAGGTACATCATATTACTAACACACTGATGACACTCGGCTAATTCCTGTGCCTCATGACGCTTGCTTCACAGGAAATTTATGAGACTAATAAGTTTGTTATGTGCCACGAGACCCTCCCCTGAACTACCTTAGGAGAGGACAAAGGATTCGCTGAAGGAGCCGTTTCCTTCCACTGCCCAAGGCTTCTCCAAGTGCCCGTTTTACTTCCCAGCATAAAAGTCTTCTGATTCTGCGTAACATCATCTCAAACAATATGTGTTTAGCGGGAGATAAGGATGAATTCAGCCCCGCTATTGTCAGCTAGGGGAATGAGGCAGGATGTGGCAGGAGGTTATCCTAATTTGTACAAAAATACCTTGCCCTGGTACGTTAATCACTTTGGAAAGCAGAATAAAGGGGTGCGTCCCGTACACATTGATGCTAGTTGTTTGAAGGGCCTAGAATAAAGACTCTGAAATTAGGTAATAATTAAAGGAAATGTGTCAGATAGAGTCATTTGAAAGCAGYGCTTTGAAGTTCTTTGTGCTATTGAGCTAATAAAAAAAAGTCACTTGAGCTTGTACGTTAGAGCTATTTTTGTTAGTCTCAAGGGTCTCCCTTCCACGATAACAGAAATGCAGAACGAACTTTAATGTTCCCTAGAGCACGGCTGGTTGGTGCTCTGCATGGGCTGTATTTTACAAGCGACACATCCCACGTACAGGTTATAGYTGAATACTTTGACCTTCCAGAATCRTTCGGGGAGCTGTTTAGCAAAGGSGACTGTAAATTGGAAAGGCTGGCTCAAGTCCAGTGTGAAAATTTAGAAATAATAAGCAATGTTTCTTCAGTAACCTTGCTCCAGCCTTTATATGGACCCAAACTCTTCACTTYGGCCTGCAGAAACTTTGGAGCACTGAGGCAATGCAATCAACTTTTTAATAAACCTGTCCTAATTAATGGGCTTTTGTCCTGTGAAGTGTTTAGTTTTCAGTGCTCTTCATGACTGTCCTTGATTAGATCTCCAGAGCATAAAGAACTAYGGAGTTTTCTTTGGGGAGAAATGTTTTTCCAGCTGCTTAGTTCAGGCRGTGTGTTAAGCTATATTCAAGAATCTAGATCTTAAACCAGGCTTTGAAAATAGCCCTCCAAGTCCTCCACCTCCGGGGCAGTCATATAAATGACTTGGTCATTTATGGACCATATCATGGTCCAAATTCTGCTAAGGCCAAACCACTAGTGGGTTGAACTAGTCTTTAAATGGCTACACGTGGTAGTTTCCACACAATCATGATAATACAGCAGTGTCAAAAGGCCTCTCAAGTATAAATATCAAGTACAAAAACTCAAATATATAAATACAAGTTGATGGATCTCCCAAATGACTTTCCGTAGGGGGTAATACAATGGCATGTTGTAGGAACAGGCTCTGTTCACCGGTAGCATCAGTGCATGTCCCACGGTGGCTCTGCTCTGATTGGAGCCAAGCCCCTGCAATATGAAAAAATCCACAAAAATCAGCATAGTCTGCACTCTCAGGCCCAGCTCTCAAGCCTCCAAACGTGCAAGCTGCTTTTTTTTTTCAATCCTTAGCTCACAATTTTATAATTTTCATCTTTCCGTGCATGCGTTCTGATTGCTTTAACACCTGCCTCTGCACTTCTTCGACTATTTTCCTATCATGTCATAGATCCATGAGTCATCTCCGTGATCTGCTGAGCTGACTCGCAGTCATCGTAGCGCCCTGCTCTTCGGGGCCGTTGCCACCACTGCTAAAGCTTGCAGAATCTRTTCCTCTGTGCCTGAATCCCTCAGAGACTGAGTAACTGCTTTCTTTTCCCCCAAAATGACTATGCAACTGTGAGTCACTGCTGTTATGACAGAGGAATTGTAATCCTTGTGTCTTTCCTGTTCTTTATGGCCAAAATTTTCTTTTGGAGGACACCTTTGTTCACCCTTCTCCAAGTCCTTTTATGTTACCAGAGACATTTTTACTAACTTCACTTTAGAGCCTGTGCTTTGATCTGGAAACTCCTTTAGGTCTGGTTATTGGTAAAACAGATGGAGAGAAAAAATAATATTTATCCAGTATTCTGGAATGATATTACTGAGCTGTTTCTTCTCGTAATTTATGGGAGCATTAGTGAAACTTAAACACATTGAAAAGTTATTAAAAGCACATTAAACAACATAATAAGAAGCTGTTTAAAAAATATCACCAGAGATACATGAGAGGGAATATTTTGCACAAAAGCTCTGCACTAACAGCTGTGAATGAAGCAGGAAAAGGACTAGCAGCAGATGGTCCCTTAAAGGAGGAGGGAGTGAAAGGTGCCCTTTGCAATAGGTGAACATGGGATCCCTGCAAAGCAGGGGATGCCCAGACAGGGCCCTTTGGATCTTGTGTGGAAATGCAGCTCATCACGGCTCTTCCAAATGGTAGGAATTGCCAGGAGGACCCTTGCAGCAGCAGRAGTGGCTGGAATAGGCAGGTTCCCCCGTGCTTGTGAGCGAGATCGCTGGTGCAGAGGCAGGTATCGGCCCCTGGGTATGAGCCCCGGGTATGAGCCCACGTGGCAGTGCTGGTGCGGGCTCCTTTTCGATGCCAGGGCACCTCCACAGCGCTGCRCACAGCATCAAAGTGCCCCCCTGCTGAAGCAGCCACTTCAAAGGTAGGAGGCCACAAAGCAGGTCCATGTTCCACCTAAGCACTGCCCAAACACACTTACAAAAAATGCCGCTCATTAGTTTTTCTTACTTGTTACGGAATTTCTAATAAAACCAGATTTTGTCCCCTCTCTCCGCAAGCTCCTCTCTCCTGTGAGAGCCTGCACAAAGTGCAGCTGGCCAGCCTTATATCAGTGATCCCTGCAGAAAAAATGGAAGGGACAGTAAGAGGAATAGTCAGGAATTTCTGGATTTAATCCTGCCCCTTCCACAGGTCTGAGAGCTACATCAGTTCATATCCTGAGAAAATCAGCCCTAAGAGTCGGGACAGGCTTGGGTAGTTCATCCTRCCAGGCACAGTGGGCACAGGGATCACCAAGCAGCTCCTCACTGGTCTGTTCCTGAGGATAAACCCGCACTGCGATGGGCAGCTTCGCAGCTGGATGGAGATGCAGCAGTAGCAGAAACCAAACTTAATCAGAGCCCATCCTCAGCTGGGTCCAACATGACATAATTATCTGAGTTTTGCCAATTTAAAATCAGATGAGCGAGTGCCTGACCTGATTTTTTTTTCTGCTGATGAAAAGAAAGGGAATACAGAATCATTGTTGCTTTCCAAGAAGATGTTCTGAAGCTGATTGAGTAGTTTTTCTCATCACTCTTGTTAATTGTGTAAATCCTCCTGGCCTACCAGCTGACATTTTAGATGCTGCATTTTTGTACTTGTGCCAAGCAGCATTTAACATGTTGCAGTCGCCTATGTTGTTACTGGGCTTTTTTCAAGAAGGGAAAACGGTTCCTTCCTCTTGTGTGTCCGACAGAGAGGCTGTTTCTCCTCGAGGAAGGAGCTCACATGATCATGCAGATGCATCAGATAAAGCCTTCCCACGTTTGATATTTGCTAAGTTGAATGATTGTTATTCCAAAGCTGATAGTTGGAATGGTTGTGGGATTTAAATTCTCTCTTTTTGCTCACTAGATCTAAAGAAATAAATACAACAATCAAATCCTTCAAACTTAGAAAGATTCATTAACCACACATTCCTGACCACATTATCTACACAAGCATTTCTCCCTGCTTGTTTGTTTAAAGCTGGCCAAGAGTCAGGCTCTAAGTTCCAGAAATACTTCTAAGATAACAAAAATGGGCATCCAGATTGAAAASGAACTCTGTATTTAGAAACTCAGAAATACTACTGGGGGGTAGCTGTGCTCTTAACTCTTTTCTGGTTGTTCTGAACTTCCGTAGCATTGGAGAGTGAGTCATGACATTCTACTTTATATGAATGTTTGTCTCATCCTGGATGATTTAAAAAGAAATACCACAGGGGAATCTAATAATACAGTCCCCAGCTCTAATTGCACCGTGGCTTTCAATAACGTTGAGAGAGA